ATATATATACATACATACGTACGTGCGGAACAGCTTCGTTAGAAAGTTACTTGCTGTCTGTCAATTTCGGTGAAAGCGTAACTCACGGCCGGCTGAATAAAAATATCTCAAAGCTCTCCTCATAGATCACTGCCTGCGTCGACACAGCTACCGCACGCACGAGATACGTATGTATTGTATATCGGTCCTAAACGAAACCGTGACGAATCGCGATCGCAAACGCCTCGCTGGACGAATTCGTAATCACAATCGAAACCTTCGAACGAAGAGATACGCTCGAGTAGATTTGTTGCAGCTTCGATGATGCTCGCGCTCTCGCGATCAGGCGAACGTATTTCACAGTGAGAGACGCGTCGATCTTCTCGCCTCGCGTAAACGTCAATTCGTATCGGCCCATCAAGACGGATTTCCCTCATTTCGTTTTATTCCCTTTCTCTTCCTCCCGCCGTAGTCGGATCGCGAGTCCGAGCGGCACTTTGCCAGAGAAAGATATGTCTCTCGTCTCGGGAAATTCGGGAACGAGTCTTCGGGAGCAGCTGGTGCGAACGACGCCCGGGGAAAAAACGTCACGAGGATGTACAAGGGCACGAGAGAAGGCTGCTGCTCACCCCTCGTTCTTACATTCGCAGGAATAACATACGTTATGAAGTCTAGACCCTCCGCAGCAGGCTACAATCGACGCACGCCATATGGAAAAAATTGTAATGGCTACCGTCTTCTCCTCGTGAAGACCGTCACCGCGCTCGATCAAAGTCCATCGAACAGCCACTTTACGATTGTAACTCCTTTCTTCCATTCTTTTTCCTTCACGTTGAAGAGCAGAGAATCTAATAATAATCGATTCAACGAGCCTTGATGGTGATACGTTATCTGCTTGCTGACGTGGACAAGGAACGGGACATTTTGCGTGAAAGTGGCAAAAAACAGTTCCACTCGAGGGAAAGTCCGACGCGTAAAGAGGTCCGGGGTACAAAGTTTCGTGGGCGCTCGAGGTACGAGGGTAGTTTGCCACCGCCACCGTGCCGTTAAACATTGTTACGCAGCTGAAAACAAAAACCTCGGGGGGCGGGGGGCGGACGATATCATCGAAATTTCAGCAATATTTAACGGGGCTGAATGCTCACCTTCTACCCGGGTTGCGTTGTTGAAAGTGTAATGAAGGTAATTGCGAAAGTTTATGAAAGGAGCGCGCGACCTCGATGGTTAATAAGTTATCAGTGGATTTCGATATCGAGGAGCCACTCCGTTGAATACTAAGGGAAATTACGAGGTAAACGGCACCGCGGGCTTGCGATTAAAGCTCCGGTCGCGATTGGTTCGCCGGGTCACTTTAGGAAATTCATTTGAATTTTCACTGGAAAATTTCTTGATCTCGTTTCCACGATCATTTCCCAAAGTTACTGGGGGGGGGGAGAGAAAGAAGGACAATTTTACTCTTGTCAGTATAAATAAGAACGTAACCTATTTAAAAGCACTTCGAGGGGAAGATTCCTCGCTAGCTCGAACATTTTCGGCTGGTATATTCGAAACGACGAACTCTTCCTTTGTCGTTAATATACGTCGCTACAATATCTCTACGATTTCCCTCGTCGTGAAAATTCGCCGCGACCGTACCCTATCTCCAGCAACGAGAGTCGAAAAAATTCGTAGCGCGCAATTGCAACGACGCGTGCTATCAGCTCTTATCGTTAGCAGCTGTAACGACTCGGTCGGAGGGGGCGAGACGTGCCGAAAATGCAGGATAGAACGAAAGCAACAATGCTGGTAATAACAGGGCTACGGAATAAACTGTGGAGCCGAACTCTTACGCAACTATCCGTATAATCGAATTCGTTCGTGTGATTTCAGAGTCTCTGCCGGACGCCTTGGAGAACGAGTGCGAGAAGTGCAGCGAGAAGCAGAAAACGGGCAGCGAGAAGGTCATCCGGTTCTTGATTAACAAGGTACGTTCACCGGCAGCTGCATTCACCGTCGCTTTTCCGCGGCTAATTGAACATAAAATGCGCCAGTCACTTCGTCGATTTGTCGATCTGCTCCCGAATGTCGTAGAACCGGTTCCACTTTCACCGGACGTTGTTGCCTTTGATCCTTGGACCCGCGCGGACGAAAACACTCCTCCGAATAATTCTCTGAGAATCACCTTCAGTCTCTCCCCTTCTCTCAGTCTCTCTCGTGCTTTATCCCCCGCGGAGAGATCTTGGATTTCTTCGCCTAATAATCGTTAACCTATGCCCTGGGACATTCGGGTAACTCTCTCTGCATCAAACTTCGTCGCGTTCCATTCCGGAAACTTTCGTTATTTACCCTACTTGCAGAGACAAGCATAATTGAACCAACAACAAATTGGCGAGGAATTGTCGATGATTTCACCGTTCGTAAAGAAGTCATACAACAATCCGTATGGCCTTATTTTGAAATATTTTTCCATGACTGGAGCCTGGATTTCAACTTTGGCGATTTCTCTTTTGTCACCAATTTATCGAATTTTGAACGACAAAATGTTAGAGTTTCCCTGAATTTTTGTCCGTTTAATAAAATGACGAAAAAGAACTGCGCAACAAATTCTAAGAGATTCGTTCTTCAGAACGATAGTAAATCTAGAGACAAGAAAATCCTCCAATGTTTCGGTCTTTATAATTTTTGAGAGAAAAGGAGGATTGTCGATTATTTTTCATCCTAACTGATCGCTCTCTTTGCATTATCGTTGAAAAATACTTCGAGTTGAGAATGTCCGCCAGTTGAGATTCTAATTTAACCGCGACGATTTCAAGAAAAAAAAAAAAAGAAGTTGCTTGGACCGTGATAAAGGAACATGGACTTTCAAAGAAAATATGATATATTTCTCGGTGGAGTGGGGACGGTGCTTCCGGTTTAAAGTCGGCAACGAACGATTTAACTCCCGCAGCCTTATCTTCGTCGGCAACTTTTAATTGAATCTACAACCACCGCTTCGTCTCGACGTTCTTGTTTTTCCGCTTCCGTTGACAGAGTCGCGATTAATATTGTTATAATGGAACGCCGCTGAAAAAAGTGGCGCTTGTCAAACGCATTTCCGCCCGTTGTCCACCAGTTTCGTTTCGCGGCGGACAATGTCCAGTGGATCGGCGCCTCGTTTCAAAGATTACTCGACTCCGAAATTGTCAAACGAGAAAGTAGCTGAATTTCCTGAATGAAACGATAAACGAAATCTCCCGATGTTTGCGTTTCAGCGGCCGATGTTGTGGGACAGACTGTCGAAGAAGTACGACCCGACCGGCGAGTACAAGATCAAATTCCAGGACAAGGCAAAGGAAGCTGGAATCAAAGTTTAAGTAGTTTACGATGTGAAGTTCACCCTCACGAAGATGTCGAAGTAGAACTCGGAGGATAATTCGTCGGTTTCCTCAGCTGGTACATTTTACTCTGCAAAAGACTATACTACTTTCCACTTTTCTCTCTTTCTCTGTTTTAAATCTTGTATTCATTTAGAACATTACGAAATAAACGTTGCATTTCTGCGCAGAATCAGAACAATTGAAGAGTGTGTGCGTGTGTGGAGAAATTGAAAAGGATGGAAGGATGGCGAGGCTAATTTGTTGGTAGCTACGGGATGAATGAGAAAATCCGAAAAGAGAGAGAGAGAGAGAGAGAGAGAATATGTGTGTGTGCGTGTATGTGTGTCTTCGAAGATTTGAAAAGCACCGAAAAGGAAAATAAAGAAGAATTCGTCGGAAAATAAAGAAGGTACGGTA